ATATATATATATATATATATATATATACACACAGTATATACGCACATTTTGCAATTAGCAAAAATAAATTATGAAACATTTCCAAGACTTAATATGGGAAAAAGGAAGTGTGTTGATAAAATAAGTTAATTTGAATACAAATCAACCATTGGTATGTACAGTAAAAGTGCCTGTAGCTGAACAAACACCCTTCTTGTCACGTATCCGGTCCATGAACTTCCGTCTGCTAGCCATCAGAGGTCACCCTTTCCATTTCATTGACTCTTGCACTACACTCTGTTGCATATCACCCCGAACTACATATCCCATCATCCACTGCACTGATGACACACACAGTTGATTGCACACAGCACTGATTGCAGCTGTAATCAATCACACATCCCCTATTTAACACTCACTCTGATCCCTTCCCACGGCCGAGTGTTGTTTAGCGTATATCTCTCCCCTAGCGATAGCTACACTACGGAGCCTGTTTAGTTTGTCATAGCCTCACCTTAGTCTTGCCTTGTCTGTGTTCTCGTATCTTGATCTTCGCCTGTGTCTCTCGGATTCCTCCTCTCGTCTTGCCCTGTTTTGATACTGGTTGCCCCTGCCTGGACCTTGCCTTGTTCCTGGACTTATCCCTCGAGTCTCGCCCCTTTGATTCTGTTTGCCGATCGTTGACCTCCGCTAGCCTTAGGTTTCTTTGTGTGTCTTGCCCGCCATATACCTGTCTGCCATTATCTGACCCATGCCTGTTCTATGACCACGTCTCTGTCTTCTGTTAATAAATAGCTTGCACATGGATCCGCACGTCTCAAGTCTTGTCAGCCCTGTAACACTTCTATTGTTTCATAACAGCTGTGTTTCATTATCTGACTGTGTGTCAGCTCGCTCACCTCTTCATCCTTCCAGCTTGACTCCGTCAGGTGCGCTGAAAACCCGTATAACAGAGCCCTGGGAATCACAATATCAAATCAGATCACAGTACAAAAAATGAAGCTGCTCCACTAAACTGTCATGGAGAAGATATCAGAACACAACCTTCTCAGACCCACTTTTTCAGAAGCACTGGCCAGATTGGTTCCTGAAGCATTGAATGCGATGGCAGCCACATGACTGGCGTGAGCCGAGATCCCGGTCACCATGATGAAAGTGGAGAGCTTAAAGTTGCAATAAGCTTCGCTTTCCATTAAAGCAAGTTTCAGTGGGGTTCTTACCAGATTCAAAGCATCATACAGAGTAATTTCTCCAGCAGTGAAGCTCCCTGGATGTGCCAGATATGAGCTGGAACGATTGACAGAAAGTGCACAGAGACCTGTGTGAAAGGAGAGGATTTACAGATCATTCTGGCCCAGATATAGCCACATTTTCATCAACTGAAGCAATAAAAACAGTGATGACTCTGACATTTACGGAGTCATCTGTAAATTACACCA